CCTCCCTTTCCAGTTTCTGGTAATTTTTGTTTCTACTGGTGAAGGCTTCTCTGCCCCTCATCCCACTAATTCTTTCCATGCTGCCTTCACCTGGATAAATAACCCCTCTTGGAATTTTCCTAATCGGAGTTCAGCATCTGCTTCCTGTTGGGACCCTGATTTATACAATGTTTCTCTGCTCCCAATATTTCCAGGAAACTGGCAGTTAAATTTGGAGCCCTGACCAGATTCAGATTAAAAATTTTTTGTAAGATACTTCATGAATGGTGTTCAATATGTTATACTGCCTCACATCAGAAAGCACCTAATATCTGTCCATTAAAAAGATACCTTCAGCTTTTCACCCGATGGTTTCTAGCAGGGGTTGATGATCACGGCCCCTTGCCATTATCAGGAGTTAGACAATAGTGGTATTCTATCATTCTTTCTTCATATATTAGCTGGAAATCCTCTATAAAGAAAAATTCCCTTATCGTCTATTTGTTTACCATGGGAAACAGTTGGTACAGGAAAGGCCGGATCAATGCCTGCTTCTTTCACTTCATATCATTTGCAGAATTATGAGCTGGTTCCTCCAAAGATAACCAATGATGAATTTGTGGATTTTAATATCTGATGTGCTTTAACCCTTAATTTTTATTCTTTCTGATGCTCCAGTGATCTCATTCCTTGGCCAGTGGGAGCCACTTCAAGTTGGCTCCTGAGTTCTTTCAATATGATCCCAGGAGACTTTGGGAGTCTTTGATGGTTTCCTTGCTTTCTGATGCAACAAGATAGTCCAGGTTCATCTTGTCTATTTCCTGCCCCAGAACTGGAAGCAGCCATTTATCCAAGGAGCCCTGGTTCCTTTTAATAAACAGTTCCTTGTAATGAGCCCTAGTTCCTTTGAATGAGAAGCCACACTACGGGTGTTCCTTGATAACTGGGCTCTTCATTATTTCCAGATCATATTTCAGCTAAGAAATTAATACTTTTAGAGAGAAAATACATGTGTTCATACTGATACTTATGACTCAAATATAGGATTACAGGACTTTTCATTTTTGATTTTACATATATATATATATTTTAGAGAGAGAGGTAGCATGTGCACGGTGGGGGAGGGGAGGAGGGAAAGGGAGAAAGAGAATCTTTTTCATTTTTTATTGTTATGTTAATCACCATACATCATTAGTTCTTGATGTAGTGTTCCATGATTCATTGTTTGTGCATAACACCCAGTGCTCCACGCAGAACGTGCCCTCTTTAATACCCATCACCAGGCTAACCCATCCCCCCACCCCCCTCCCCTCTAGAAACCTCAAGTTTGTTTTTCAGAGTCCATCGTCTCTCATGGTTCGTCTCCCCCTCCGACTTACTCCCCTTCATTCTTCCCCTCCTGCTATCTTCTTCTTTTTCTTTTTTCTTAACATATATTGCATTATTTGTGTCAGAGGTACAGATCTGTGATTCAACAGTCTTGCACAATTCACAGCGCTCACCATAGCACATACCCTCCCCAATGTCTATCACCAGCCACCCCATCCCTACCACCCCCCACCACTCCAGCAACCCTCAGTTTGTTTCCTGAGGTTAAAAATTCCTCGTATCAGCGAGGTCATATGATACATGTCAAGAAAGAGAATCTTAATAAGCAGGCTCCATGCCCAGCCCAGAGCCTGATGCACGGCTCCATCTCGCAACTCTGAGATCATGACCTGAGCCAAAATCAAGAGTTGGACGTGTGACCGACTGAGCCCCCCAGGTGCCCCTGATTTTATATTTTTATATCTTGTTTCTTGTGGTGGAAATCCTGGATTCTAACAACATTAACATAATTATTTGCATATATATATATATATATCTTCAGAATAGCCATACCAATGCCATTACTAACAACATAATTGCTGAAAACAGCAAGATTTCTTTACAGTTCTTTTTTGTTCTTAGACTATATCCCACTAAAGATGTACATTAATTACTCGTTTTTTCCTCACTACTGTGAAAAAAGTCACTTAAAATAAAATCACCTAATTAAAGTCACCTCCTTCAAGACTTAAAATAAGACCTGTGTAAGTAAGCTACCAACCTGGTAATTAGGTTCACTTGTTTCACTTTGCCTTTGATTTTTAAGGACTGTGTTCTTATTTTGAATAAAATCTTGTTTTATAATTGCATATAACATATATACAATTCCAAAGCCAAATATACAATGTTTATACATTGTATTGTGTATTGTTCATTTAAAGTCATAGTCACAGGAAAAAGAAGAGGGAAATTGCAAAGCTCCTTTGGTCAATACAGACAACGGACAAAGAGTTATACCTTCATTTTTTAAAATAGAAATGTCGAATGAAATGTTATTACTTGGGCGATATATAATTAAGCAAAGCTACCTACTAAATTTTCTCTAATTTGGAAGATGCCACCTTTTTTAAAGACTTTTTTTTTTCAGCATATGATCACATTTCTCTGGAACCCAGACGACTTTCAAGAGTCCTCTGTTACAAATCACATTTGCAGCCAGAACCAGAGCCCGAGGGGAGGCCCACATTTTCTCTGAACAGGCTCTTGGAAATGGCCTTCTGCTGTTCTCAGGAGAGTGTCTGCTTTTCCAAACTTTCAGGTGAAGAGGGAACACCTCTTTCTTTTCTTTCTGAGATTCTCTTCACTAGAAGTTGTCAATAAGGAGGCTCTCCATGCTCAAGGCCAAGCTCCGGAATCCCATTAGACAGCAGCGAGCGCAAAGAGAAGGCCTGGGAACGCCAGCTCGTAATGTGGAGAGGAAACGAGCACTGCGGACTTCTCCGATTCTGCTCCCGGAGCTCACAAGGAGCCAAGGCCGAGGCACCTCACCTTCCCCAGCCCCCCGCCCTGCTCTTATCTGCTTTTTTTTTTTTTTAAAGATTTTATTTATTTATTTGAGAGAGAGAGAATGAGAGATAGAGAGCATGAGAGGGAAGAGGGTCAGAGGGAGAAGCAGACTCCCCGCTGAGCAGGGAGCCCGATGCGGGACTCGATCCCGGGACTCCAGGATCATGACCTGAGCCGAAGGCAGTCGCCTAACCGACTGAGCCACCCAGGCGCCCTCTTATCTGCTTTACCCAAGCAGGCTCCTCTGGAAGCTCTTTTGACTTCGGTCCTTCTCCAAAACTGGCTCCAAATTCAGAGAAGAAACTGGGAGGTTTTGCTTTCATGTCTTCTTTGGTGCACCCTCAAAGTTGGGGCACAACTTTGAGGCACCAAAGGGTCTGTTTGCTCATCCTGTTTCCAGAACCCACGGCTCGGCACACACAGAGGGGATGCCAGGATTCACTGGGTGTAGTTGGCAGGTCCCCAAATTTCCCAGTGGACCTCAATAATCTTATAAGAGCTTCCCTATTGTCAGACCCAGAATGTGGGAAAAGCTGTCAAGCAGAAGCTCTTCCTCTTCCTTGCGGGGCTTTGTACATATTCTGGTCAGTTTTATTCAGATTCTTATTTGTGTACTTAGCCATCGAGTGTACCTCCTCACAATGGCTGAAGGCATGCCAATGACAAAGGCTGACAGAATCACTATCAACAAAAGGACGTCCTTAGTTGATACTTTTGTAATGTCCTTTACTGTGAATAGTGACCAGGGCATGGATATGGCTGGCCCAATTATAAAGCCTTCTAGATTTAACAGTACTTAGACGAAACCCAGTCCAAAGTACTGCCGGTGTCCCAAGCTGGGGAATGATCAGCAGGCCAACTCCTCCTCCCACAACTAAAGTTAAAGAGTTCCCAGAAGTTTGTCTAGACTGAGGAATGTCCATCAACTTGATTCCCAGGCAATCCCCAGATGGTTGCCCAGGCCGGGAAAGGGTGGGCAAGATCCGATACAGTCCACTCCCCGCCCGGTGGTCATCAAAATGTGACACAGGAGGGAAAGAGCCAAGCAGGTGAATTCGCCTTCCAGACAATTCTTGTTGTCCAGGTTGAAGAATGGCTGCAGGGAGAATCCCATTGCATTTCCTCTGGGAGGTTTCCAAAAGGCTGTTTCGCTAGGCACCAGCCAGAGAAAAGCCTCTCCCCCGCTCCCCCCCCCTCCTGTTAGCATTCCCGAGAAGAATGTGCAAGTCCTAAAGCCAAGAAAACGTCCTCCTACCCCCGCATTCTTGACCGGAAAGAGTCAATGTGCAGGTAAAAGACCATCTTTTTAGATTTCTCCAAAAGACTACTGAGTAAATTTGAAAAAAATTAAAAATGCGTTATGGGGTTTATAAGTAATAGTAAAGCACATGATACCAAGAGCAAATCCCCAAAGTGAAAAATGGAGTTATATGTGACAACATTCTTACGTTGTACGTGAATTTTCTTCAACTACATTCAACTTGATTAGATTTCCTTTGCCTCTTTTCCTTATCTGTAACTTTCTCTCATTTTCATTTGGTTTTTCCTTTGTTTCTTTCCAGTCGAATCTCTCTCCCCTTTGTGCATCTTGGATTTAGGTTTCCGAGATCATTTTTCTTTTACGTTCAGTTTCTTTCCTGGGTCCCCTCAGTTTCCATTTCACATCCGCTTGGTCCTTTCTACTTAAAACTTCTCATTTGTTTTGTGATGTCCTCACAGCTGCATTTGCTTGTCTAATTATTTTAATTCCTGTTGGAATGCTGCATTACAATTTCCTTCTGGCTTTTTTTCCCGTGTTTTCTGCTCACAAGTTTCACTTTGAATTTTCTGGTTTTGTTTTTTTCTTGCATTAGGGTGCTGGTTTATTAATGTTCATATTTGGGCATGTGAGATTTACCTGAGCAACTATTAGCAGGAGGATATGGGTGAGGAACAGGGCAGGGAGAGGGGTCCGGTGGGTCTCCAAGTCTCTCAGGGGCGCCCCCTCCTGGAGCTGCAGCAAGGCAGATTCTCCAGTATTTGACACCTTTGCGTGTCAAGCTTCCTCTGATGCTCTGTTGCTGTAATAAGTCTCCAGGTGCCAGCCCCTTCCACACTTCCCCCTATACCACCTCAGACAGCCTGGGGGCCTCCCTCATCCCCAGAAGGGGCGCCTCTCCAGTACCCTCAGCTCTGGTCCTGCGCACTTTCCAAACCCCTCCTCTCTACTCCTTATCTGGGGATAGGCCTTTGTTATCTAGGTCCCGCTATTGCTAGGACTCCTCCATCTTGTGGGCAAGTTATCTGCTTCTTTATGGCTTAAAAGCTTCCCACCCATACCCAGATACCTTCCCAGCTTTAACCTTGACATCAGTGTCTGTAACAAATGACTACAAACATGGTACCTAACGCAAGAGAAATTTATTCCCTCACAGTTCTGGATACCAAATCAAGGTGTCATGAGGCCATATTCCCTATGACGGCTCTAGGGGAGAATCCTTCCTGGCCTCTTCCAGCTTCTGGTGGCTCCTGGTGTTTCTGGCTTGTGGCTGCCTTCCTCCAGTCTCTGCCTCTGTCTTCACATGGCCTTCTTCCCGGTGTCATTTCTTTTATAAGGACATCAGTCACTGGCTTGAGGGCCCACCCTAAATCCAGGCTGATCTCATGTCCAGGTCCTTAATTCCATCTGCAAAGAGCCTATTTCCAAATAAGTAGTCACTGGGTTACGACATGGACATGTCATTTTGGGGGAACACAATTCAACCCACTGTATCACCTCGAATTTCCCTATAGCACAGACTCCTCTTGACCTCATGCTGATTTTGGTCAGTGAAAATGTGTGCTATAGGAAATGCCTCCTAAGCCCCTGGAATAACGATTCCACAGGGCTCCCTGGGCCTAGGAAAGGAAAAGGAGCCCTGATGGGCAAGGGGCAGAAGGAAGAGTGCTTGGGTCTTGGTGGCTGCTCACAGACATAAGCAAAACAGGGAGAATAAAGGAGAGGACATCATGGAAAGAAGGGAACAGAAAGGGAAAGCAAGGGGCAGGTCAGTCTACCTGAGGGACTTCCCGGGCCTTAGCAGTCCCCGTCCACCCCTAGGGCTCATCTCGGTCTGCCTCAGTGCCTACTTGTGGTTACCACTCTGGCCTTGATTTTTTTTTGTATTCATTCATTTCTGATTTCTATGATTTTCTATGACAGCTATGATGTTCTCTGTCAGGTTCAGCATTACAACTTTTTGTTTAGTTATTGTCTAACTTTGTAGCAGGTTGGGGGCAGGGGCTCTTCTAAATCAGAAGTCTGCTATGTTGGTGGAAATCCTTAGGTGATTCCATTCATTATCTCATTTAATCCTCCTACAGGGTAAAAGAAATGATCATTCCCATTTCCTAAATGAAGGAATAACTATCATGCTATTCTCCTTATTTCATACTATTTTTTATTTTTCCTAACAAATCCCTGTTTAATACGGAGTTAATGACATTTTTATTTGCAACCTAAAATTTTCATTGGAAAAATGCTAGTTGCTATAACAGATAAGGCCTAAGAGCTCTGCAGCTTAACACAGTGAGAGTTTACTTCCTCACAGGGGGAGGAATTTACAGAGCCTCCGTTCCAGGCAGTCACTTAGGGACCTGGTTCCCTCCACTTCGTGGCTCTGCACTCCTCATGAGCCTTAGATGGCGCCCCATTCAGCCAGTGATCGGGAAAGGAGGAAAGAGAGGTTTATAGAAGCCAGCCCTGGAAATGATGGGTGTCCTTCTGCCCATATTTCACCAACCAGAACTCAGACGGCCATGAGAACAACCGCACAGGAGGCTGGGAAATGTAGTGCAGCCATGGGCCCGGGAGGAAACGAGAATGTACTTCGTACACAGCCAGAATCTCTGCCTACAGCTTTTGAATCCTTTCGCACCCTAGCATTTTCTAATTTTCTTGGAACGACTTAATGGCAAAGTTCTTATTATAATGATAGATGTCAGTTTATTCACTTGGTCCCTTAGGTAGGCATAAAATGATCTTTGCGTATTATATTTATATGAACCTGGTTTCTCCATTTCTTGGGTTAGCCTCATCTGCACATCTTTGAAAACTTACTGCACTCTTGCTTCACTTTCTTTTTACCTTCTTTGTTGGGTCCTTTGACAAAACTGCTTATTTCCGGAGATGCCACAAGGAGGCAGCGGCAGCGTAAGCAGGCAGCAGCCGGGGTACCCAGAGACAGGGGGGCCCCCATCACTCTTTGTGGTCACCCAACCTTGAGAGCTGCCCTAACTCAAATCCAGAGCTGGGGGGTCCTAGAGACCCAGGACAGTCCCTTCCCCAGGCTATCTCCTCCTGCCACAAGAGCACAAGAGCCCTAAGCTGGTTTATAGGAGTCTGTTTCTTCACAGCCGCCCCTAGAACATTTAGCTGCAGTCATGCCCACCTCTCCAGGAAAAAACCACAGTGGGGTCAGAGGGGACCATCAGATGCCTCAGTATGGCTGAGAGGAAGTCCTCAGTGTGGACTCTTGATCTGTTCCTCTCAACAGAGTGGACAGACTACCCTCAAATATTCTCTGGTCACAGATCTAGTCGTCCATTAAAAATCCGCTGTGGATACTCCACACTGAATGGAACACTTCCTACTCTTGGGAACACTTTAGTTTAGAGACCATCCTGGGGGAGAGACAAAGCCCAAGGCACGTGGTAAGTGCTCTGCAGGGGGTCTGTGCAAGGGAGGGAGGAGCAGCCTCCCTGAGGGAGAGCCACCATAACCCCCAAGGCGGCTGTGGAAGGTCACGGCAGGCTTAACGTGAGGGGCGAGCGATGAAACTAGAGAGCCCAAGGCTCAGCCCCTCGGCCTGCCCAGCCCTACATCCCCTCTGTTCCAGTCTACGGAAACCCTGAGCAGGCCCAGCCACGGAACTACGTCTGGGTTTACCTGCCCACCTGGGGCCTCCCCAGCAGGGCTCAGCCTCCGTGGCCGTGCTGAGCTCACCACGGTCGCTCAGGCTGTTGAAACCGCTGACTGTGGGAGAGAGACCCCCAGGCCTACTAGCAGTTGGCGTCCTTCTTCCCAGGAATAGGATATGAAAACCTCCCTCACCTTCTTGGCAACTATCCTTCCTTCACAGCTCACGCCTATCACCATCTGCTCAGTCCTCAGGCTCTGGGAGGCCCTGGGTCGGCCCAAGTCTTCTTCCGTCTCCACCACCACGCTGTCTGCTCCAGATCTTGAGTTCCTGAGCCCTGAGGGCGGCGGACCCAGGCGATCGCCCCTGGTGAGCTGCACGAGCCAACGGGTTCTGAGGCGGCCTCATGAGAGGGATGGGCTAGAGGCTCCCTGGGATTTAAGTGGATAGATTCGGTGACAGGACACTAGCGTCTCAGGGGCCTCTGGGCTCAATTACCAGAGATGTTGCAAAGTTAAAGTTCACACCGAGCAATCTCTATAAAAGTTCACAACGAGCTAGCTCTACAAAAGAGAGGGGACATCTGTCCATTGAAGATGAAGCTGCAAGGGTACAAGGGAATGTAAGTTTATGGCGGCTACAGGATTCACCTTTTCCAGACTCTCTTTCTTCTGAAAGGTCGAGAAAGTTAAGCAGCCAACAAACTTGTGGGCACAGAAAGAAAAATCTGCTGGAAGGCCTCATACAGTACAAAAGTTTCCAGCATAGAAAGTATGAATAAAAATTAGGCTAAGGCCTCATTTCTGCCCATTGAGAAGTGGGCACAAAGCAGGTCCCTGATGGAGAAACTCTGTGCAGTTTGGTTCCCCTCTTTGGGCCCTTTTTACTTATTTTAAGAGGAAATAATAGGAGGAAAACATTTCCAGCTCCTGAGATCTCGTGGGTGACTACTTTTGTTATCTTTACTTTATACACATATATAAAGCATGTATAAAGTACACTATACCTTTTCTCTATACACATGTGAAAGGCCTCCACCTACTGGGCATTCACACAATTTCTGAATAAAGTCAGAAAAATATCTACACGGACAATATAAATTTTGAGGGATTTTTTTAAAGGATTTTTTAAATGAAGAAATAAACTTTTTACATTTTGTACATCCCCGTCCTCCATTCCACCTTCATTTACTGCTGCAGGAAGCTGATGCCACAGCTTGTCCTTGGTTCAGCAAAGACCAGAAAGGCACTTAAAGTCTCTTCATTGCAGGAGCCCTCAAGTGAATGCAGTTCAGAAGGGTAATTTCCAGTGTGCCTTAACTGTTCTCCCCAGGAGAAATCCACCCTGAAGCCCAGCGCCGCAGCAGGCTCAGGTCGCACCCAGCTAGCACAGCATCTGTCCGTCACACTGGCCACCGCGGTCCCGGGTCCCAGAGGGCGCCACCTAGGCCTGCTCACCAGCACTGCCTCCGCTGGCCCCCGAGCCTCTGGTGGGGGCCTGAGCATCTGAGAAGCGTGAGGCCTGCTTGGGCAGGCGGATGGGGACGTAGATGTTGGATGCACAGTGCTCCTTGAGGTACTCTCCTCCCTTCTCTTCATACTCTTTCCTGGTGATCCAGACTTCATCATCGTCCAGGTGGTCCAAGGCCCAGTCCCGAGCACCATACCAGGCATCCAGCACAGGGTTGGAAGCAAGCTGAACCTGAAACACAAAGAGCACTCAGTAGAGGGCCGTCTCCCCCTCAGGGCTCGAGGAGTGAGCGTTCAGCAGACCCAGCCGCAGCCCCCTCCCTACGTGGTATCCCCAGAAATACACACGTGGGAGGGCCCTGGTGCATAACTGTCTGCACCCTCCAAATACAGCTGAGCTGAGATGCTGCAGACTCTCCAAGAGAGCACACAGAATGCAGAACACACCAGACTCGACCTCACAGAATCAACGGTTGCGGGCTCTTTCATGAACACCCACCTGCCGCTATGGGCCAGAGAGGGCCCAGCTGCCCCCCTCCTGTTCCAATGCTGTCGACCACAAGCTGCCAGATGGAGAGAGGAAGCGGAGCGGGCACTCCACCTGGAGGAAAGGCCTTCCCATCCTGATGCCCACTCTGTGAGAGGCTTCTCGAGGAGCAGGGGCTGATACGAGGTGGGTCTCGCTATGGTGACCAATGAGCCTCAGGAGCAGAGAGCACAGAGAAGGGGCTGGGGTGTTGTCCAGGACGTTGCCAGTGCTGTTTCCATTGCTTATTATCGGAGCAAGGCCGTGGTCAGCAGCCCCGGGGAGCCCCTCAACTCAGCTGACCTGATCAGAGCAGGGAACATCCTCTGTAGCTCAAACCAGGCTTCCTGTTTCCCAGAGTCGCCACCTGCTTTCCCACCTCCCTCCTACCTCCCTCCCCCAACCACAGGAGCTCCAGGTTGGAGTGGTGGTTTCAGAACTTTCTGAACAGGCAGGCGACATAAAGTGGACTCAGCATGTGGAGATGAAGAGGAAGAAACAGAGAAACACAAAAGTCAGGAGACTAACTGGGCTGATGTGGGAGGGACTTATGAGAAGGGACTGTCAATAAATTAGGATAACAAGAGCCCTCAAGCTCTGGCTGGAGCCAGGCAGAATGAGTGTAGGGCAGTGGGA